GGGGTGGGTGGGGACCCGTCGCTGATGGGTTTCTTTTTGCCAACCTTATCTCGTGGGGTGCAGAGGTTATGTCTGGGGTGGAGAGGAGGGCTGGAGTCTCAGCTTTCCCTGATGCTGCTCGTGAATTTGGGATTAGACTCGTGTGGGGTGGCGGCGGGCGCTGACTCCAGGGAGCTGTGAGGGTGTTGTCCCAACCGTGGGTGCCCAGGGTGGGCAGGTGCCACGAGCTCAGCACTGAGCACTCAGCCAAGCAGTTTCATATCCTATGAAATTTCTCTTATCAACAGTTTCTTATCAAACTGTTACTTGGGAAAGAAGACTTTAGACGGGGTAATCTTTGCTAGGAAGGGCTGTGAGCTGGAGAGCAGGTAACAGCTTGTGGTGCTCTTGAGAGCCAAATGATGTCAGTTTTAACTTTCGAACTGGAAACTGTTTCATGGCTTGTCTGGGTCTTTGGTTTTTATTTCTATTTTTATTTTCCCCACCATATACCTGCCCCAACCACCTCAAATGACCTAAAAGCAGTGGGATGAGGGGTAAGAGCTCTTCCTCCCCGTTTCCTGAGGGCAGCAGCTGCCTCTGCAGAAATCTCAGCTCCTGAATGGAGAGGAGCCCTCAGAGCCGTCCTGCGTGGGGTGCCCACGGGCCTCCTGCTGTTCGCCCACTGATTCACCCCCTTTGGAAATGCAAACTCCAGCTCTTTGGGGCGGGACTCTGCAGGATTGCTCAAGCAGTCCCCGGGGGATCGGTCCCATGGTGTGGGCGCCCTGGGACTGTCCCTTCTCCTCCAGCTTGTGAAAAGCATCACTGGGCCTGCGGCTGCAAAAGAGATCGTGTGTCCCCGAGTCTCTTCCCCCCCTCCCAAGAACCGTTGCGCTGGGCATGTCACCCACCCTCCTCCTTGTGGGGCTGCTGCCTGCGGAGGGGCGGGGTGGGAGGTGTGTGAGGGGAGCCTGAGAGCTGCCTCTGCGGGTCCATGGCCGACGTTGCTGGAGCTGGTGGGTGCTTTTTGGGTGGTTTAGCACCTTCCCTGGGGAGATTCTGCCCCTGACCCGAGTGTTCTTGCAATGCCGACTCAGGGAGCAGGTGTCCTCATGGAAAGCTGAGTATTGGGGATCTCTGGCTTTTCACAAGTCATGTTGGAGCCCTAACTATTTTTTTTGTTGTTGTTTTTTTCCTTGTCGTTCACAGTACAGTGCTGTGGACAGCAACCCCCTCTCTCTGTACGTCATGCATCCCTTCTGGAACACAATAGTGAAGGTGAGACCTCCTCCTGCCCCGACTCGACCAGCAAAACTTCAGTCACCACAAAGCCATCTCTGTAAAACCGCCTGCCCAAAAGCCCTGCTTCGTTTGTGGTGCGACTAATTCCAGAGGCTGCTGCCTTCCAGCCTGGAGCCTGCCCTGAGCTCACTGTGCTGCAGCTTAAAGCTTCCTGCTGCCCCCTGACACGCCAGATGCGACTAAGCAGTGTTGTCTAACGCCCCGACGATTGTAACCAGGTCTCTGCCGTGGCTGGGAGCAGCATGTGGTCCTTATTACACATTTTAATGAGTTCATGTGTTCTTTTGCTGCTTTCCCATAGATCTTCCCTACCTGGCTGGCCCCAAATTTGATAACGTTTTCTGGCTTCCTGCTGCTTGTCTTCAACTTCTTCCTCATGGCATACTTCGACCCTGACTTTTATGCTTCTGGTAAGGCTGCATGTTCCTGGTTGGGTGCGAAGCATCGGAGTGGTGAAGTCTGTCACCTCCTCTGCTGTCACTTCTGGTGCTCGTTGGTCAGGTCTCTTAGTCTGGGCCTTCCCAGAGGCAGGGGGCTGGGGCAGGGCTGAGGGGTTGAACTGGCTGGGCTTTGTGAGGAGGCCTTGTCCGAGTGCAGCTCCTCCCCTGCGGCAGCTGGGTGGGCTGCGGGCGGGGGACGAGGAAGCAGCCGGAATCTGGAGTAGGCATCGCCTCTGTCTACAGAGCAGACAGGAATCCAGTGCCCTCGTTTCAAAATCTAACAGGATTATGTGGGAAACTGCTTCCCTGAAGTCAAGAGGTTGAGCCTTGTTCTCTGCATCCCAGCTACTTGCCCTCTTGTAAAAACATGCAGGTGCCATGTTTGGGCCAATAAAGGCAAAATTCTCTTTCTGGGTTTCACCATTCTGCATAAGGCAATGATGTGCAGAGCTTGGAACTTTTTAACAGTAGCCATCGAATCACGGAATGGATTGGGTGGGAAGGGACCTTCTCCATCTAGTCCTATCCCCCTGCCCCGGGCAGGGCCACCTTCCCCCAGCCCAGGTTGCCCAAAGCCCCGTCCAACCTGGCCTTGAGCCCTTCCAGGGAGGGGGCAGCCACAGCTTCTCTGGGCAGCCTGTGCCAGGGCCTCACCCCCCTCACGGGGAACAATTGCTGCCTCAGATCTCACCTAAATCTCCCCGCTGTCAGTTTAACCCCGTTCCCCCTCGTCCTATCCCTCCCCCTGATGATGAGTCCCTCCCCCCTTTCCTGCAGCCCCTTTCAGCCCTGGGGGGCCGCTCTAAGGTCTCCCCGGAGCCTTCTCTCCTCCAGCTGAACCCCCCAACTCTCCCAGCCTGTCCTCACAGGGGGGCTCCAGCCCCCCCAGCATCTCCGTGGCCTCCTCTGGCCCTGCTGGAGCAGGTCCGTGTCCTTCTGCTGTTGGTGCCCCCGAGCTGGACCCAGCCCTGCAGGGGGGTCTCCCAGAGCGGAGCAGAGGGGGAGAATCCCCCCCAGCCCTGTGACCACCCTGCTCTGGGTGCAGCCCCGCACATGGGGGATTTCTGGGCTGCCAACCCCCATTGCCGGCTCACAGGCAGTTTTCCATCCACCGACCCCCCAAGTCCTTCTCCTCGGGGCTGCTCCCCATCCCTTCACCCCCAGCCTGGGTTGATACCAGGGATCGCCCCGACCCGTGGGCAGGACCTTGCCCTTGGCCTTGTGGCACCTCATGGGGTTCGCACTGTCCCACTCCTGGAGCTTGTCTAGGTCCCTCTGGATGACATCCCGTCCCTCAGGCTGTCACCCGCCCCACTTAGATCCCAGTGTCTGTGTCGCTGATGAAGATATGAAACAGTCCTGGTCACAGTACGGCCCCCTGAGGGACCCCACTTGTCACCGATGTCCATCGGGACATTGAGCCGTTGACCCTCTGGATGTGACCAGCCAGGCAATTCCTCACCCACCAACTGCCCACCCATCAACCCCATTTCTCTCCAGTTTAGAGAAGTTGTTATGTTGGACTGTGTCAGATGCCTTACAGATGCCTGCCCAGATGACATTTATAGCTCTTCCCTTGCCCATGGATGCTGTCACTCCACCCTGGAAGGCCCCCAGGTTGCTGAGGCAGCCCTTGCCCTTGGTGCAGCCCCGCTGGCTGTCCCAAATCCACGTCCCTGCCCTCCCCGTGCCTCAGCACAGCTTTGAGGAGGATCTGCTCCATGACCTTCCCAGCCACAGCGGTGAGGCTGGCAGGTCGGTTGTTCCCAGGGTCCTACACATGTTCATCAGGTTCAGTTGTGTCCCCTTCCTCGTGGGGGTGTCCCAGGGAAATGATTATTCTCAGACACTTACCAATAGCTTCCTTTCTGTATTTTCCTCTGCGTTTGCCTCTGCCGGGTTTGGTTTAGGTTGCTCAGAAGAGTTGATCTAGTTCTTTGAAAAGTGACTCAATCACCAAAACACAGTTAAGTGGGGAAAAATACTGGTTCCTTGGGATTGTCTTTATTGGTAGGTAGACAAGGGCTGTTTTCAGTATGCCAGGGCTTTCAAAAGCTCGGCTGGCATCAGTGCTGCTAGCTAATGTTTGGACTGTGTTTTGGTCCATGAGCTGTAGGAAGAAAAGCTGGCAGTAGTCACTAGGGGAAGGAAGCTCAGTGTAAGAATCCCCAGGACATTGGATGTCCAGAAAATTGGGCTCTGCCTAAAGGATGGTGAAGCTCATGCTTTGGGACCCTTTTATACATCCAAGTTCTGTGTGTCCTGCTTAATTTTGCTGGTGAGGCCTCCAGAAGCTTCTGCCTTCCCCCCTCCTTGGATGGTTTTGTAGATGTGATGCCCTCTGTTTGCTGCTGGAAAGGCACCATCGTGCTGCTGTAAGGAAACAGGAGGTGGCATTTCACAGACGCCTTGTTCCCCCAAGGACACCTCCCTGAGTACCCCCGCCCCGAGGCTGCTGCCAGGAAGCTGTGTTTCTTCTTGCTTGTTTTTTCTCCAGTGCACCTTTGGGCTCCCTGAGTTGCAGACAGTAAAGCTGCTTGTCTCCTGAAATGCAGCTGGAGGAGGTTGGAGATGCTGTTAAGGAGGGGCTGGAGGCTTGGGGGGAATGTTGCTACATTTTCAAGAGGCTCCACTTGATGCTCTGTGAGCAAGTGATTGAGGAGAGTCTGATCTGCACACGCTTGCATGTGATGCATTTGGCTCCGGCCACCACCGGTTCCCAGATCCCGTGACTTTGGGGAGCTGGGGACAGAGGACAAGTATGTCCTGGAAAGCAAAGTCCTTGGTGACCCACTTTGACGTGCTGTTGTGGAACAACTCTGCCGTCACATCCTGGAAAGCCAACATCTCCGTTTCACTGAGCTCTGTAGGTGCTTTGTCTTGGTGAGCTGCTGGCCCGTGTTGCTGTGCCTCTTGTGCCAAAAAAAACCCCACTAGAAGTACGCACAGAGCTGCCCTGACATGGGTCTTTCTGATCTCTGCAGCTCCTGATCACCAGCATGTTCCAAATGGAGTGTGGGTCGTTGTGGGGCTCCTCAACTTCATCGCCTATACGTTAGGTAAGACTCCATCTAGTTGATGGTGGGGGTTTGTGCCTGTCATCTCTTTACGCTCTGGCTGCGTGTCATCTTATCTCGGAGCCTGTTGAGAAATTTTTGATTCTGGGCTTCTGCCATGCCCTAATTCACTTGCTGCTTGGTCTGCTGGAGCAGTTTCTGGGAGCTGCTTTGCAAAGTGGGTAGAAGGAAGCAGTCCCAGAGCAGCTGCTGTGAAAGGATGCTGGAACTGACCTTGAGATGAATTGTGAAACTCCGTCTTTGGTCCGCTTGAAATAAATAGAACCTTGTCAGCCTGTTGCAGTTTTCAGTCTCAAAGAGAGCAGTGGGATGGGGAGCACGCTCCTCATTAGAGGATGGAGGTAGCAAAAGCTGCTGCTCTCAGCTGCAAACTGGCCTGTTCCTTCATGGAGGTGTCCAGCAAAGCTCCCCATTTCTCCTTCTTCTCTTCCCAGATGGTGTTGATGGGAAACAGGCTCGCCGGACCAACTCCAGCACGCCCCTGGGAGAGCTCTTTGATCACGGCCTGGACAGCTGGGCATGTGTATACTTTGTTGTGACAGTCTACTCCACCTTTGGGCGTGGCTCTACGGGTGTCAGTGTCTTCGTTCTCTACCTCCTCTTATGGGTGGTCTTGTTTTCATTCATCCTCTCCCACTGGGAGAAGTATAACACAGGGATCCTCTTCCTGCCCTGGGGATATGACATCAGCCAGGTGGTAAGTACATGCCAAGGCTGCTGCTTGGCTTCGGCAGAAGCTCCACGAACTGCTGGGGTGCAGAGGCGTGCGTGTGGCTCTGCCATGGGGCCAGAGCCTTGTAAATTGGTCACTGCAGCGCTCGCTGGAGGTGGGTGTCTTCAGTCTGTCTCCAGGCATTGAGGAGGAGAGCTTTCCAAGAGTGCTTGCGTGGTGTTGGCCAAGAAGGCCAATGCCATCCTGGCATTTGTCAGCCCTGGCGTGGCCAGCAGGGACAGGGAAGGGATCTGAGCCCTGGGCTCGGCACTGGGGAGGCCGCCCCTCGATTCCTGGGTTCAGTTTTGGGCCCCTCACCCCAAAAAGGCCATTGAATGACTCGAGCGTGGCCAGAGAAGGGCAACGGAGCTGGGGCAGGGTCTGGAGCACAGGTCTGCTGGGGAGCGGCTGGGGGAACTGGGGGGGTTCAGTCTGGAGCAGAGGAGGCTGAGGGGAGACCTCCTGGCCCTCTGCAACTCCCTGCCAGGAGGGGGCAGAGAGGGGGGATGAGTCTCTGGAGCCAAGGAGCCAGCGCCAGGCCCCGAGGGAATGGCCTCAAGCTGCCCAGGGCAGGGTCAGGCTGGCTCTGAGGAAGGATTTCTGTGCAGAAGGGGCTGTTGGGCGTTGGAATGGGCTGCCCAGGGCAGGGGGGGTCCCCGGGATCCCTGGAGGGGTTGAAGAGTCGGGCTGAGCCAGCGCTGAGGGATCTGGGGGAGTTGGGAACGGTCAGGGGGAGGCTCATGGTGGGGCTGGAGGAGCTGCGAGGGCTTTTGCAACCCAGATGATTCTGGGATTCTGTGACTTTGTGCTAGAATTGCTTTAATGGGGTGTGCTTACGTGACACTAGGGTTGAACTGCTCAAAACTGTGAAATCCAAGGAGGTTTGTGCGCTCTGGTTTTTATTTTATGCCAAGTAGCTTTGGTAGATGGACTCACCACAAACAAACAAACAGGGCTTGAAGAATGAATATGGCCTGGTTCCTGCTGTCCAAAGATACATGTTTTGGCCACCTAAATCATTGCTCTAGTTAAGTTTTCCAAGTTGGAAGGAGAGTTCAGTTGATGCAGGTGCATTAATTGCAGTAATTGCCTCTACTGGTAAAAGGAGGCTGTAGCTGGTCCCCTCTGACTGTACTCTGATCCCTTTCTCCAGAAGCATTGCACAACCCTCCTGCTTTCAGATCTCTGCCCGTTGCAGAAGGGCAGGGGGTGGAGGGCTAAGCTACCCTGCAGCGTGCTTCACCCACCCTCAGGGTTACTCTTAAAACTGAAATACCCCTTGTTAGCTTTTTTTTCCCCTGTCTAATTGCTTCACCAGAAAGATAAGAAAGAGTCCCTGAACAAACCCTCCAGGGTCACTGCAACCTGTAGTATAAAACCTCTCGCTTGTGCTTCAGGCATCTGGAGAGTTCAAGCCATGTGAGGGGCGTCTTTGCTCAAAGAGCTGCTCCTGGTTGTATCCTCCTCAGCAGCTCAGCTACCACACTTATTAGACCAAAACCAGGATGTTTGTGGATTTATTTTTTTTTTTTTAAATTTTCCTTCTTCCTGATGGAGGAGAGAATTGAATGTATCTTGAGCAGGATGAACTGAACGTATCACGACCAGGAGACCTGGGTGTAGCTTGCAGCGTAGCTCTGGAGCTGCCTTTCCCAGAAGCTGCCTGGCCTCTGCGGGGTGCTGCCGGGTCGGGTGCTGCCAGACTTGCCTGCCTGATTGCTCACGCCTGCTTGTCCTGTGCTTCCTTTCAGACCATTTCAATTGTCTACATAGTGACGGCCATTGTGGGAGTTGAGGCTTGGTATGCACCTTTCCTGTTTAATTTCTTATATAGAGACCTATTCACTGCAATGATTATTGGTAAGAAACTCCATGTTGAAGCCTGTCTTTTAAACTCCACCTTTTTAACGAAACCCAATGTCTTAATTATATGATGAAGCTGTTCTGTTTGCTGTAATGAAAGCTCCTCTAGGCTGTTATTGAAGTGACTAATGGAGGGTGTTCTTGCAGCCTGCCCTTCCCCAGGATTTCAGAGGGTTGTCTCCTGTGTAGTTACTCTGCAGTAGTTAACTCCAGCGTGCCTGGGTCTGTGCTGACCAAAAAAATCCACGAGGAAGCCGAGCACTGCGCTCACGCCTCGGATATATTTTGTGCCAGTGCTGAGGGCATAGGTGTGTGCTGCTGCTCGGGGGATCAGCCCCGGCGCTGCCTACCTGGGGCTGAGTGTGCAGACACGCAGAATGGTTCGTGGCTCAGTGTGGTGGGCAGAGGGGAGAGGACAAAGGTCGTGGCTGCTGCTCGGGGCTGGGTGTGCTGGGGGGCAGCTGGAGTTCAGCATCCCCTGGGTGCTAAACAGGAGTCTCAGTCGTGCCTGGGACTGTGAGAGTGTGAAAAGGTATCTCCTCTGAATCGCTGTGCTGCCCCAGCGCTGGCCCTCACGTTGCCCATTTTTTTTTTAAAAAAGCACAGTTTCTTTAAAAAAAAAAACCAAACAACAAAACACAACCCCGTGGGAGCCCGGGGCTGCTGCAGGAGAGAAGTTACGGCCATGGAGATGGGGAAAAGCGCTTTGCTGTTTGGGGATCCTGGCCTTCATCCACCCCTCAAAAAAAAAAAAAAAAAAAGCCCGGCCTCTCTCTCCAGTGGTCAGTCAGAACAAGCCACTGCAAAGAGGAGAGTAATGCAGGCGAAGCTTAGCGGGGCTGAGCTGTCTTTGCTTAATGCAGTTTGGCTTCTTCAGAAGTTGTTGCTCAGTTTAATCTTTCTTAGTCTGCATCCCTTACTTTAGGGGTTAACTGTAGCTACTTAATTTCCAGTCAATATGTCTTGAATTGTGTTAAACTTAATGCTTGCACTTTTCCTCATCGGGTGGATATTCTGAGATTTCCTTTGGCAGTCGTGTGACTTAACATATGAATAATAAATGCAGTAGAGCACACGGGCTGGATTTGTGTACTAGGATAGGAGTTGGGTTATTCAAAGCAGGAATATTTACAGCTTTGTTTAAAATACCTGCTGCTAGATAAACACGGAGGGAGTTAAGATCGACTCACGGGTTTGAGTGTAGCGGATGATGTTTCTTACTGGGGTCTCAATTTTTTCAAAATGACTCAGACTTTTTGTATCATTGGTCAAGTTAAACGGCAATAACTTTTTTTTTGCGCAGTGGGAACTCAAAATTCTTGCTTGCAGTGGGAGAACTAGAAAATTGGCTTTATTATGAAGACTGAAAACTGTTGTGCCCAGCCGTGTCGCTTGTGGAGTTTGAACTCGCCTCATGTCTCATTAAAGACAGTGTTATAATTAAACTTTTAACCATTTAAAGCATAATACTGTGCTCCTTAATGCATCTTCAAAATTGAAATGGCTTTAATTTAGAGCAGACCTGGACTTATAATTACAGCTCTTGGACCAGAATTAGGAGTACCTACTTTTAAACGTGCCGAGCTAGTCTTGGCGCACCTCAGAGCTATTTTTGGTGCAAGCAGCTTAAACCAGAGCACAACTGCCTGCCCCTCCGGGGGGTGCACGTGCTGGTCTCCCTTTTCCGTGGGGTAATAACGTGGCTCTTTCTCTTCCAGCTTGCGCGCTCACTGTGACGCTGCCCATGAGCCTGTATAACTTCTACAAGTAAGTTCCTCTGTCCTCGGGTCTCCCTCCCTGCACTAACCCCTTGGCAAGAGCCCCCAAAGCCTCCTGGAGCGTTTTTTATCCCCCCTTCCTTAGGAGTTTTCAGACTGTTCTCAGTGTGACAAAGTGGTTCTGACACACCAGAAGGTCCCAGCTTGCAGGGTGCAGTGGGAGGAGTGGGCTGGCAGCCTGCTCAGCAGGGTCTTGCGGAAGGGTCCCTGACTTTTCTAGGCTTGTCCTGGTGGTCACAACCCAGAGAGCTGGGTGACCAGGTGCTTCTGGAATTGGGGAGGTTTGGGGGCTAAAATGAAGGTGTGCACCTTCCTCATCTGACAGGTTGTGACTGGTAGCAGCAGTTCTGAGTAGCAGAATGGCCAGTGAGGTTCTGCAGCAGGGGCCAGGTGTTTCTCAGCTGTGGTTCCAGGTGTTTCTCAGCTGTGGTTCCAGTTATTTTCAGGTTTTTGCTTGCCTTTCAGGGCCTATAAAAACAACAGCTTGAAGCACCACTCTGTGTATGAAATCATGCTGCCACTGGCGTCCCCAGTGTTGCTGTTCCTGCTCTGCACCACGTGGATCTTTGTGTCCCCGACAGACATCCTGGAGGTCCATCCCAGGCTCTTCTATTTCATGGTTGGAACAGCCTTTGCTAACATTTCTGTAAGTGGCTTTTGCTTCATGCTCCAGTTTATCCCCTGGGAAGTGTGAAACCTGCCAGAGCGCTTGGGAGGCAGGAAGGAGGAGACCAGCTCGGATGTGAGGAGAGAAGGGAGATGTGAAGGTGAACTTAACAGCTTTACTATTTTGCTAGGGTTGAAGGAACAAGCAGGAAGGTAGACAGGGGTTGGGGTCTCTGAATTTTGTGCTGCAACTCTCTTGAGAAACTAGAGAATGAGTTAAAGTGAGTGTTTATACGCACGCGTGCACCCTCTGTGTTGCGAACAGCAAACTCCTAATACCAAAGGAGTTCCTGCTTCCTTTTTGGGGATAAACTTAACTGGGGACTAAAGCTTTGCCAAAATCCGGTTTAGCTGCGTATTGCATCTGTGCTTGCTCGAGGCCTTCACAGAGGCACCTCTGCTCGTCGCCTCAGATGGGTGAGCTCTGTGCCTCCGTGCCCTGGCTCCAGCAGCTCGTGCGGGCTGGTACGGCTCACTCTGCTCAAGGGAATTCCCTTTTTGGTTAAAGATGCCCTCGATGCTTGTCTCCCTTTTACCTTCCTCCCCCACGGGAGGCTTTGCTCTGTGTGTCCCACAGGGATTCTAATACAAAGAAAGATCCTGAGTGAGAAACTTGGGGTGGGGAGGGGGAGGAAACTGCTTGGTGGTGCTTGTAAGTGGAGACCATTGGTACGGTATTTGAGGGACCTGGGGAATGTGATTGCCAGCCGGCTGAACAGGAGCCAGCAGTGTGCCCAGAGGGCCAAGAGGGCCAATGGCATCCTGGCTGGTGTCACCCTGGGCTCGGCACTGGGGAGGCCGCCCCTCGATTCCTGGGTTCAGTTTTGGGCCCCTCACCCCAAAAAGGCCATTGAATGACTCGAGCGTGGGCAGAGAAGGGCAACAGAGCTGGGGCAGGGTCTGGAGCACAGGTCTGCTGGGGAGCAGCTGGGGGAACTGGGGGGGTTCAGTCTGGAGCAGAGGAGGCTGAGGGGAGACCTCCTGGCCCTCGGCAACTCCCTGCCAGGAGGGGGCAGAGAGGGGGGATGAGTCTCTGGAGCCAAGGCCCCAGCGCCAGGCCCCGAGGGAATGGCCTCAAGCTGCCCAGGGCAGGGTCAGGCTGGCTCTGAGGAAGGATTTCTGTGCAGAAGGGGCTGTTGGGCGTTGGAATGGGCTGCCCAGGGCAGGGGGGAGTCCCCGGGATCCCTGGAGGGGTTGAAGAGTCGGGCTGAGCCAGCGCTGAGGGATCTGGGGGAGTTGGGAACGGTCAGGGGGAGGGTCATGGTGGGGCTGGAGGAGCTGCAAGGGCTTTTCCAGCCTGGATGTCTCTGGGATTCTGTGCACATATGTGACCGTCCTCTCTGCGCTCCGGACAGCTCTGGGCTTGTGGAGTCGATCCTGGGTGCGAGTCCTGACCGCTTTCTCTTCCTGCAGTGCCAACTGATCGTCTGTCAGATGAGCAGCACGCGCTGCCAGCCTCTCAACTGGATGCTGCTCCCCATATCTGGGGTGCTCTTCGTGGTGGTGTCTGGGTTTGCCCCCAACAGCGAAACGCTTCTTCTCTACTTGTTAACAGCTTTCCTCACCCTGGCACACATCCACTACGGAGTGGTCGTGGTAGGTGGACTCAGCTGATGGCAGGCTTTGCTCGGGGGCTGTTTGGGGCAGAGAATAGTCTGCTTAAAAAACAGGAACGTCAGCGGGAAGGGCTGTGTGTCCTGCCGTCCGTGACAGTGTGAAACGGGAGAGCTGACCTCCTTGCAAGAGGCCTGGGTGGGCTGTCGTGTGGGTTTGAAGCCAACTTCACACAGTGCGTGATGGTGGGGGGGTTAGTTTGAAACAAATATTTGCATCTCTGCTGCCATGTTTAACTCCTCCTGGCTGGTGTGGCAGCTTAGTGACCACCTTGGGTGACCCACAACCTGCTCCACCAGGCACTGTGTCCACACGTCGGCTGCGAGTCCCTAATTTGGGAGTTTCAGGATAAAAAGTTAAACTGCCTGTCGACGTTACTTTGGTTTGATTTGCAGCCTTGCTCTTGTGCCCTATGCGGGAGCCACTGGGGGAGCCATGATGGGGCGGGGGTGTCCCTGCTAGGGAGGGTGGGGACACTGGAGCTGCAGGGGCTGTGTAGAAATCCAGGGACTGATTTGCTCCCCTTGTTCTGGGCCAACTCCCTGAGTTTTGATTATGAGAGAAAGCAGACTCAGAGGAGACCGAGTCCTGTTAGAAATGCCCCCAGAACGAGGGGGAGGGACCCGATGGCCCCTGCGGAGCTGGCCATGTGCCCTCCCTCCTTGGGAAGCCCCATCCCCTGGGAACCCCGACTCTAATGTGGAGCCTCCGGAGTTGAGTCTGAACTGTAATTACAGCAAAAAACATAATAGCCAGGTTGTCTTGTCTTTCCAATTAGTGTAATGAGGCTTCTATGCAAGAAGGATTTGAATAGCTAAGAAGCTTAAATAAATTTGGTCTTGGAATCAGAGCTGGAGACAGGGCCTGACCGGATGGTGTAACCCTGCCTGCCCAGGCTGGCCCAGCCCCTGCAGCGAGCTGCTCGGTGCTCCGCGTGCCTTCCCCTCCATCCACTCCAGCTGCCCGAGCACCCATCTGTGTAGTCTCCTCTCCCAGGATAAAACAACTTGGAGCTGAAGAACCTTTTAAGTCTCTGACCACTCTGAGCCTGGGAGAAACAATTGGGAAGGAACCCTCTGCCCTGACCCGCTGCCCGGCTCGGTCACCAGATGCTGGCTTGTTTCGTCCTCCTCTCCGCAGTTTTTAGAAACTGAAAGCTCTTCTCCTGGTGCAGCTCCTGGTCCTCTCTGGTTTTCTCCTGTCCTCCAGAGAGGTGGTGAAAGCTTCTCCCAAAGGCTGGTGTGAAAGGGGCCTGATTATCCAAAGCACGGTGTTGGGTTCCCCTCCTCTCTGTAACCCTCCTGTGTGTGTCTTGGTGGTCAATGCAAAGCACCTGACTCCGGTTTGAATTGCAAGCGGATTCAGGGAGTGGGGGGGTTTATATAGAGATAGCCCAGCCTAAGTAATTTAAGCAAAATAATAAAAATACTGTTGGGAGGGACAGTACCACAAGGTAAAATTGTGCATGCCTGGGCTGAGGGTGGGTGTTTCTGACTGTTGAGCAGGGCAGGGATGGCGCTGAGCCTGCTCCTGGGTAGACCAGGCTCACGGAGGAAGCTTTGGGAAGGGAGCAAGGCTGCACCTTGCGGGGCCATGTGCCCGGCTGGCTGCAGCGTCGGGCTGGCAGAGCCAGGGCTCGGCTCCGGGAGCACGTAGGGTGGGCAGCGGTGGGGAAAGCGGGTGCAGGAAGGTGACAGGGGCTTTGTCAGCTGTGCAGGGACCAGGTTGGTGCTCTGCCCGCTTCCCTCCTCGTCCCCTCTCGCCTCGCTAAGTCGTCCTGTTTGCCTTGTCCCCAGGTGAGCCAGCTGAGCAGGCACTTCAATATACGGCCCTTCTCGCTGAAGAAGCCCACGCCAGATTGACTAGGACTGGAGGAAGAGAAAATCGGCTTGCGGGCTGCAGAAGTACTGTAAATAACTGCTGCAAATACCTGTAAATACTTCAACCATCACCACAGATCTAAACTTATCCTCTGGACAGACATCGGGGCAAAGTACGCACGGTATCCGGTGCAGCCAGGGCAGGACTGGTACGGGGCAGCCCCCGCTGCTGTTCCGCGAGCACAAGCTTTCGGTTTCGGGTGGAAGTGGACGAGGAGAGCAGCCTTGCAGGTCGCTATTACTGTATATTAGACCAGCTGAATGTTCCTGGTGAAACCTCAAACTTCAGCTCTTGCTCCGGTAAAGCCTGGTGGGGATGCAAATGGCTTTACCTGAGCAAAGCATCTCGACCTGTCACCAGAACAGAACCGCTGATTTCTGCAAGGTGAAGGGAACATCGTGGGGGTCGGGGGGGTCCTGTCTGTCCCTCATCCTTCTAGAGAGCCCTTGTCCCGGGCTGGGACTTTGGGAGCGGATGGTGACAGTTCCTCCACGTTCTGTCCTGCCTTCCTGCATTCACCTACTTGGGCAAATACTTATTTTTTTTTTTTTTTTTTTTTTTTTTTTTTTTTTAAAGGAGTGTGGGAGGAGAAAAAGAACAACACTCAAAACTAGTAATATTCTCCTTGGGGTGGGCTTAGAAAATCAGGGCTCAATTTCCTGTAAAAGTGAGAAGGTGGCTTCTGCCTCCCCTGCTCGAGCTGTGGCTACCCGGGGCCGCATCTCGAGCCTGTTGCTGTCCGCGCGCGTGGGAGCGGGGTCCGGCCTGCGCTCGGCAGCAGAACGAGGCTTACACCAGCCTAACGCCGAGCCCAGCAGGAACTCGCTGTTCCAGGTCGGCTCTGCTGGGTCACGCCGTGCTCCTGCGCCCCGTGGCTGGGCTTAGCCGGCACTCGGCCGCCCGGGGCTCGGAGAAGCACCTTACGGAGAGTTGGCTTGGTCGTGTGTGCAACCCCAGAAAGCTCACAGGCGTGTGTGGGGGGGGGTCCTTTCCAGATATCACTTCATTTTTCCAAAACCATCATCCCCAGCGGCTGCTTGTCTCATCCAGGGATCTATTTGTTTACTGTCTGTAAAAGACATGTTTGCATTGAATTTTTTTTTTTTTCTTGTTTCACAATTGAGTTAGAGTGGGGTGGTGAAGACTGAATGCTGATTTTCTTTTCTGTTTACTTTATTTAATGAAGACCTGTGCTTGAATGAAGAGTGTAGCTTAAACCCAGGCTCTGGAAAGGCTGCATCCGGAAGCGAACAAGCACAGCAGATTGTGCATATGTAATTACCATGGGAACAAAGTCGCTTTTACACTGATTATTGTGCAACGTGGTTCGTAGAAGCTCGGTCACAGCGTTTTCCTTCTGCAGGTGAAGACTCCTCCTGCCTTAGGAAACCTTCAGACTGTAACTACTATTTAAACGCTTTTTCTTTTGTAAATTTGAATCCTTGTCATGCAGACTATGAGGCTTGAAATCCTGAGGCAAGCTCAGGCCTTCCCTGGGTGCCATGTCAGGGGGGTTTTGGTTTTTATTTTTGGTCACGGTACGCCCCCGGAGGAGCGAGCTGGCACCGGGGCTGACATCCTCGGCTGACCGTCTGTGTGCTGGCATGTCTGGAACCCCCAGCCTCTGGGGAAGGGTGGCTCACCTGGGAGAGGGGGCAAATGGTTTTCAGAGTTTATTTAATAAAGTAGCTTACTCCTATCTTATTATACTGACATTGTACAGAGGAAAAAAAACAACAAACCACACCTAAGTGTACAAATGAATTGGGTTGCGCTTGAATTTTTGACTCTTGCTATTTAATGAAATATAATAATTATGAAGGGAGATAAATTTAAGTCATGATCGCACAAGAACTACAGGGAATCTTAAAATGGGGCACAACTACCTGTGGGATGTGTTCAGATAGCAAAATCATGCTAGCAGTGCTGACAGAAAGCGGAGGTTGGGTGATTTACTTTCCAGTTCTGCGTGTTTGCAGAACCAGGGAATGCCCGAGGTGTTCCCGTGGGCTTTCAGCTGAGCTCAGGGGGCCCAAGCCTGGAGCTTGCCTTGTCCTGTCTCCTCCCGCTAGCACTGCTGGGCCCCGAGGACTCAGGCGGTGCTGGTGTTGTGAGTTGTCTGACTTTAAATCGTAGGATGTCGCTTTGTCTCAGTAATACACTGTCTGTCTGTCGTCTCGCCCAGCCGTGAGCTGCTGAGCTTTTGCAGCACGTCATAAACCCTGAAAAAGCCGCCTGTGAGGTGACAAACTTGTGGAACCCGGGCTTCCTCTCTAAAATCCCGCCAGTGTTTGTCGTGCTGTAGGAGAAACATCTCTCAAAAACTGGAACCACTTCTTATCTGCAACAGGCTTTATCTTTGGAGAGTCTTGGATTTTTGGTGCCTTAATTTATTGCACCTTGAAGCTAGAAAAAATATCTCCTGAAATCAGTGCTGGCAAACAGTCTTGCCGGTCTCTGGCACTGCCAGGCTTGTGGCAGAGCGAGGAGGGAGCAGGCCTGCTCTCGGGGCACGTGTGACCCTGCCCGACTCGTGCTGCTGCTGCAAAGCTGTTTGGGCTCGTAAAGATTAAGTGATTTCTGCTCCCCAATTCTGGGAGGGGAATGGAAACAAAAGACAGATCGAACTGTCTTGCCCTGGTGGGGTTGTGGCATGCTGAGAAATGAACCATTTAGTCATAATCATGGGTTTAAGTCTTAAGAATAAAGGTATTTCTTGCTAACAGCAGCCGAGGGTGGCCGTATTCCAGGGGTGGCGGCGGGGCCAGACTCTGTCCCTGCGCTGGGACCTGCTCCTCGGGATGGGGCTGGCTCCTTGGTGCCCTCGCTCCTCACCTCCTTCCAGAGCTGATCTGCCTCGTCTCTTCTTCCAGGGACAGCGTTCATCATCTTTTCTTAATTACTGATGGACCCGCCGAGTTGATAATAGGACTGGCTTATGCTTTCTTAAACCTGTTTTGCACATTTTCTCTCAATACAGAGTATGACCAGGAAAAAACAAACCAAAAACCAACCCAACAAAAGACCCAGTGCAGGGAGGGGTGCGGCCCTCGCAGACCCGCTGGGATGTTGGTCGTGGGGCCTCGGCCTGCAGGCAGGGCCCTGTGGGAAGGGCTGCCTGGTGCTCCTGCCTCCTGGTCCTCCCCATGTTTTGCTCCGACGCAGGTTTTTGTGGGCGCTTGGGACGTGTCGCCACAGCCGAGGCCCAGAGGCGGCTTCGCTTGGAGCCTTTTTCCCCTCGGTCTCTGCGCCGACCTAGCACAGGAATTCACCGAGCGGAGCCGGGCTGAGGCTTGAAGTGCAGATTTGGGTAAAAGCCACGTTTTACAGGTACGAGCGCCGCGGCTGGCCTGGGGCGTACGAACCCCGGGAAAAGCCAGCACCTACGCCCTGGGCTTTTGGTTTCTTCCTGCCCCCCCCCGTGCCGCCGTTAACTCCCCTCCCCTGCCGCCGGTCACAGCAGCCTCCCGTGACCCTCAGCCACCTGAAACAGGGGTCAGGATGGTGTAGGTGTGAGCTTCTAAGGCTCTGGAAACTTATTTAATCTCCTTAAATAGACCTGGCTTGATGCTACCCCCCGAGTGCCTTCAGTACCTGCCGTTCGTAGGCCCAGAGCTGTTTCAGTCGCAGTCAGGTCAGTTTTAGCAAGGCCAAACTCTTCTCCGAGAGCATCTCTGCTTGTGATGGACCTGGGAAGTCTCCGGAGAAGTAGCGCTTTTTGGAAACTAGCTCAGATCTTGGGTTTTTTTTCATTAGGTGGGTCCAAGGGAACGGGTTGATTTTTGTGCAGACATAAGGCGTAGCCAAGCTTTGGTCACCTGGGTTTGTGGCAAAACGGGGGCGGGAGTGTGTGTGTGTCTGTATCCTTTCGAAACTTTTTTTGTTGGTTTGTTTTGTTCCAAAGCCTGCAGGAACTGCTTCCTGAAGCAGAGTCTTGTTTCCAGTTGTCCCTATTTTTGCTTTGCCCTCACGCGCCCCCATCCCAAAACCTGGCGGCGCAGTGTGCCAGCCTCGCTTCGGCGGCGATGGAGCTGGCTCAGCTAAAACCTCCTTTACTCTTTGCTTTTCTAACGCAGAACCCCAGCCCTGGCCTGGGGTTGCAAACCTGACCCATCCTGCTGCTGTCCCTGTTCCACCTGGCCGGCCAGGGGCCGAGGTGAGGTGGAGGCTGCTCTTGGTGGGACGTGGTGACGATGGGTGCTACCCCTTAGCTTCTGGGAAAGGTCTCCAGGAGCCTTTTTTGGCCCTTCCAGGTGAGTTTAGGCCTGGCTTGAGAGGTCTCTAGGCCGATCTTGAGGAGGTGGTCAGGGTCTCGCTGCCCCAGGAGTGGGGTTTTTGGTGGAATTCTCCCCTTGCCCTCCGAGGGGCTGTTCGTGGCGGCTCTGTGGCAGGAGCTGGTGCTGTGCTTCAGGTTGGAGATGTCAATCAGAATCTTCCGTCCCTCTCCCCCTGGGTGCGCTTCAGCCTGACCCTCTCTGTCCCTCAAGCTGAAGCAGATGCTGGTTTTGGTGGTGGTCTGTGCTGGTGTCAGCCCCTCTGGAAGAGGGTGGTGGGTCCTGGGGCTGGTTTTGGCCCTGGCCTGAGCGAGGGCTGAATCACTCTCTCCTCCAGTGGTAACCTAAAGGCAAACCAAGGCAGCAGCATCAAACCCAGCCCCCAGTGGGGCTCCGTGGTGCAAACCGGAACCTTTCAGGCTCAGCCCTTACACCTGGGTGGTTTTGCAAACTGTCCTGGCTTCTGGGGACAACAAGGATCGTCTCTGCAGCCCCTTGGAGCATCTCAAGGCCGCTGGCCCTGTGGCTGTGGAGTTCTTGTGGGCAGGAGTTGGTGATGCCACCTTGTCTTTCTAGAAACAAGTTTAGAGGCACAAACTGGACTCAGGAGCTCGGCCTTCTGCCCCCCCACCCCCTGCCCAGGGGGGCTGGAGAGCCTACGCTCTTCCCCGGGCTGTGAAATGATGTGGGGAAAGACACGTTTGGTGCTTGGGTGGGGGTTTGGTTCTGTCCCTCCCCTCCTTGAGCCTTTCCGAGGAGCCACTGGGGCTCGGGGGGGCTCTGCCGGGCTCCCCACCGGCGCCAAGCTCAGTCCCTGGGCGTGGGGTTGCCCCTAAACGTGGATCAGACGAAGGAGCCTGGTGGGGAGCAGCGGTCCCGGCGCTGCCGCGGCCCCAGGGCCCCCCATCGCTTCCCCAGGGTCCTGGTGCTGGGAGTTGAGGTGCTGCAGTGGGTTTGAATTCCAGTCTGTTAAATGCTCTTACAGAAATATTTATTGTGTTTAAACCAAACAAAGAAAATCTATTAAAGTTCAGTAAAGAATAAAATTTTCCAAGCCTTTTAATGGCGTTTGTCTCTTTTTGTTGTTGTTTTTCTAAGCAGGCAGCCCAACGCAAGGGGCCGGGCTTGGGCAGCGGGGCCAAATTTAAACTCTGGTGGAAAAGCTTTTTGGGGCAGCTCTTTGGCTGCAGCCCTGGGGGAGAATGGGGTAAGGAGAACACAGCCTGGCCCTGGGCTGGGCCTGCCCCATGGCCCAGCTTCATCACACCAGCTCCGTTGCCCTTCTCTGGCCACGCTCGAGTCATTCAATGGCCTTTTTGGGGTGAGGGGCCCAGAACTGAACCCAGGAATCGAGGGGCGGCCTCCCCAGTGCCGAGCCCAGGGCTCAGATCCCTTCCCTGGCCCTGCTGGCCACGCCAGGGCTGACACCAGCCAGGATGCCATTGGCCTCCTTGGCCCCCTGGGCACACTGCTGGCTCCTGTTCAGCTTGCTCCAGGCTAAGCTCTGCTCTGCCCACAGTCCCCCCCCCATAGCGATTAAATCCCTCAAACCCCGTTAGAGTTGGTGCTTTGTTTCCACAGACAGCTCGGGCAGAGCTGGGGCCGTGGCCACGGGGCTCCCGAGGACAGTCTGCCCCAGAATGCGCCACTTCAAACGCAGAGTGGGCAGAGATGCTGCGTTTCACTGGACGCCCCTTTCCTGCCCTCCTCGAAGCCAGGATCGTGCTCATCCCACGTGGAGCTCACCCCGACCACGCTCGGCAAGGTGCCCTGGGAGAGGGGAGGAGGTTGGGTGTCACTGGAAAATGGTGTTTTCCTGGATGCAGCTCGATGGCCTGGAGAAGTCAAGACTCATTTCTGCCTTAACTGAGCTGCCTGCCCTCACAGCGAGTCCTTAGCGTTGTTGGTTTTGGTGCTCATCGGGGCGATCCCCTCCTGATCCCAGCGCCAGGGCTGCACACAGGGAAGGAGACCACAGACGCCGGGGAGGCTGAGGTCAGGAATTGGGAAAAACACCCCTGCAAGCCCCAGCCTGGCTTTTTGTGTGGGTGGGGTGAATGAAATCCCGGCCCCCCTGGGTCACGCGAGGCTGTGGTGGGACGTGGAGGTGGCCGGGGACACACATGGTCCTTGCTCTGAAGTGGTGAGGAGAGGGGCTGCTTTCCTCCTTCCGAACACACGTTGTGGAGCTCGGGGAGTGAAATGCTGGGGTACCAACCCCAACCCCACATTCAGGCTGACATGTGGGTGACTCCCCCAGCCCTTCCCAGGGGGGTGAGTTTCCCTTTTGGCTCCCCCCAGGGTGGGGCCTGGCAGACAGCCGTTGGGTGAAGGAGCCCCGGGGGTCCCGCAGTCAGTAACCCAAGGCCGGGCGTCCCCCGAGGGATAACAGCGGGGACCCCTGGCAGGAGGGGCAGGCTCTGTGTGAGGGGGACGCCCTGGGCAGAGTTCCCTGCTGGGGAAGGACCTCCCGCCTCCCCGGGACTGGGCTCCGGGCAGCTCTGGCTTTTGTAAACGCGGGCTGTGCCGACATTCAGTGTGGGGCTTCCCTGGTCTGATGTGTTTGGGTTGTTGACCCGGTTGTCTCCCGTCCCTTCTCTGGCAGACGGCGTGTCACCAGTTATCCCCCCATTGCTGGCCGTGCTGGTCGTTGTTGGGGGCAGTGGGATTGATGTCGGTTAGGTATGATCTGACTGACTGGTCTGTGCCCCCAGCGCTCGCCCATGTGCTGACCCTTTTGTATCCAACACAGTCTGGTTATTGGTTCATCTTTGTGCCGCCTGTGCCCTTTAGGCCAGGCCTGATAACTGGCAAAGCAGGGAGGAGCATCTTTGTGGCCACCAAATTGCATCAAAATTCAGCCAGATGCGGAGTCATGGCGTTGTGTGTGCAGCTCCAGGAGTGCCCAGGAAAGGGTGAAATGGGGAAAAATGGGAGTGGAACAGACTGGTGGCAGCTTCAGTCGGGGCCAAGAGCTTTCCAGGCCGACGTCCCAGGGCAGAAAGTGATGCTTCTACACCCAAAGCTCCAAGGGGCCTCAGCAGTTCATCTGAGAAGCACCATATTTACACCCCGTGCCTTAAATCCCCCCCCCCCCCCA